AAAAGTGTGACCATTCAGGTGCTCTTCCCTTCTGCATGGCCCAGCCGTACTCCTTGTCCTTGCTGTTTGCGTCTAGAGTGCAGTGGGAAGACAGTAATTGTCCCAGTAGCCTCCTAGCCAGGGGTCAATTGGGGGGGGATCGCGGGGGATCGCAGTCCCCCCGGGTGAGGGGCGGGGGTGGGGCACACGACGAAGCCCCGCCCCCTGCTTCCAGCCACCCCGCTTCCAGCCCTCATTCAGCCAGGAGGAGGCAGGAGAAGAGGGAGGGTAAGTTGCTTCCTCCCCGCCTTTCCCCACCCCTGCCTGCCTGGGGCCAGGGAGGGCCTTGGCGGGGCTTCCTCGCACTCCTGCCGGCCTTGCAGGTCCACCGCTGGGTCCCTGATGTCAGGGGGTGTGGCATATGCTAATGAGTTATGCTAATGAGTTCCCCTAGCTCTTTTTCTACGAAACAACCCCTGCTCCCAGCGAATGTAAGATTGGAGTTGGAATGCTGCCCAAAGTGTTTGTTACGCTCTGTGGGCCTTGGCCCTGAGCCTGGAGGATGCAATTAGTCACTGGCCAAAGTTTGGCCAGTGGTGGCAGTAAATGGAACAGAGTGTTAGCATTCGCTCAAGATGGTAGCTGTGCTTTTCATTGCCTCAAATGGTACATCCTGGAAGCTTTCCTGCATTGGGGGGTTTCTGGGTTTTTCTGCACAATGCATTCTCTCTCTGTGTTCTCAGTGCGTGGACACAATTCTTACCCAGCAAGCAAGGAAGTTGGTTTAGTCTTAATCACAGTGGAGGGGAGGGAGATGCTCTGGCCATGAGTGTTTGGGAGTGTTCTACCCCCTTTGAGGTCCCTTAGAGAGCAGAGATAGTATTTTAGGGTTGTATTTTGAAGCATGGTCTTCTTGTCCCTAGTGGGTGCCACTCTCCTTGCTTAATGTATAGGGTGCATTGTTCTTGCAGCCCCAGATGCAGAAACGCAGTTTATTTTATTTGAAACATCTAAATCCTGCTTCTGTGCCCAATTAGGGGCCTCAATTCAGTGAACAGTTTAGATGACGTTAAAAATCAACTTCAAAAAACATTGTGTGTGTGAGTAAGAACGACTTGGCAACCCTAATTAGGGGCCTCAATTCAGTGTGTGTATACAAGTAAAACAACCAAGAAGGAGGGTCAATAAGGGAAGGCCAGACAAGACAAAATAAACAGAAGTATTCACTCACTGGCAGAAGAGGAGAGGGACAAATAGATCCCCCCAGGGAGGGAATTCCACAGTTCTGGTGTTACGACTGAGAAGGCCCTTTTGGGGGTTGCAGCCCATCTATCCTCAAGCAGGGCCCCTGTAGTTGATCATAATGGTTGAGTCGGTTCATGTGGTAGTAGGCAGGCCATAAGATATGCAGGTCCCAGACCATGTGGGACTTTAAAGGCCAATACCAGTACCTGGATTTAGCCCCAGAAACAAAATGGAAGCCAGTGCAGATGGAACAAGACAGGACTGACGGAACCCCGGTGGCCTACTCCAGCCAGCATTCTCGTTTCGCGAAGAAATTAACTGTGTGTGGCATCAATACCAATTTCAAAAACCAATAAATAATAACAATAATTAACAAATCATTTCTAGACAAACAAATATACCAGTTATACAATTTCCAAATCCTAAACAAAATTATTCATACAACACACAATTCATGAACAGAGCATAAATGTTTTAACATATGTCCTGTATAGGGCTCACAAAGTCCAAAACACTCCAAAGTGCTCAGCCCCTCCTAATGAGGGACAGCGTAAAGGAGGAAATCGAGCTTCCGGAAGGTGTCTACTCCAACAGTTCCAAAAGAGAAACACTTTAACGGTTCCAAAAGAAGAACCATGAGATTGCCAGCTTTCTCAATATGCTCCACGTTTCACCAATATGGCTTTATCAAGCTGGAATCAGTAACTTGAAGGATATCACCGTGAGAATATTGAGGCATAGCCCACTTTGAAAACGATTTTGTGAACTGAATATGCTGAGGCTGTTTTTCAGTGATATCCTTCAAGTTGTTTCAGCATTCTGTACCAATTGCAGTGTCTGGGCACTCCTCAAAGGGCTGCAGTCCCTTCTAAGTCAGTTTAGCTTATTCGGTATATCACCAGCCCAATTACAAACAATACAAAAGGGTACCAATAATATATATAAAATATTTAAATATAAAACTGCGTTTGATCTGCATATGTTAATAATAAAATT